ACACCCACCCATCCCACCCAGGGGAGGACATCCACCACACAGTAATCTCGTGCTTGGGAAATTAACGTCTCCTACCCCTAACCCTGCAGGAGACAGGGCCTATGGTTTATTCGTCCTTATCCAAGAAGACTAGAATATCTATCCATTTCTTGATTATAGAAACGTAGCAAATTCTCCTCACTTGCTTTAAGACCATGAGTATTGGTCCGGCCATCAATTAAAAAGTGCATCTTTCTGCACAGGAAAAACCAAACAGAATTACTGATTGTGGCTCTTTACGGCCAGATTAAGAATTGCAGTTTTGTCTCTGACGAAGAGGTAGCAGTAAGCATTATTATAGCCTACAAGCAGGTCGTTGTTTGGTCTCGTCACCCAATGTTGGAGAGAGAGAGAGCGTTGCATGACGAGTTCTAATTGGGGCTGTGGAGGGGACTGCAGGAAGCATGGTGTCAATGCAGTTTACTATTGCCAACAATTATTCAGACACCAGAATCAGTTACTAAGTGTCCCATTTCAACCCACATATTCAAAAAAATAACTCCTGCATGCATAGCATGCCTAATGTTTATATCTTTAAATGAGAACCCTTTTTTAGTCCAAATATATAAAATTTTTTGATTATTTTTGTGAGGATACCTTATTGTATCAGTGGCCTGTTGGTAGAAAATGTATTTTTTTTATTTGGCAGATTTACATACTGTAATGTGAAGCACTAAATCCCAAAATGAGAAAACCTGTTTACCTAATTCCTCCAATAAATTATACAATGTAAAGTCAAAATTGCTCCTTTTGTTTCTTGTTTCAGGTGATATGATGAAATAAATCTGTAGACAAATCAGTTGAAGCCTGATTTAAATTTCATGTTGGAATTTCTTTGGTCATTACTCTGCTTACAGTATTGTGCAAAAATCGATACAAATGACATGAGCAAATTTCTTTCTTTGTTCTCAATAAAGTTTCTTCAACAATTTGAGTGCAAGTTTGTGTAACGATTCAGGGCCTTTTAAATTACATTTCTATTCACACAGTTTTCTTGTGAACTTTGTTTGTTGTTGTGAATCTGACATTTTACTGTACAGTAACTGTTGTAAGTCCTGCAACTTTGTGAAGCATGTGTTACAAAGAAAGCATTAAACAAATTTATTGAAAGCTGTTTTGGAAACTGGACTGTCTTTATGCATTGAACAAAGAGTCAACTTTGTACATGGGTGACTAAGGGGTGGTTTCACCCAAAAAATATCTTCCTTGGTGTTAATCTGTGATGCAAAGACTTGGTCCCACAAAAATAAAGGAAAAGGAAAAGCAGTGTCTTGGCCACTGGACCTTCCTGAGGTGCAGAACAGAGGATGCACTTTGTAGAAGCAATGAATGACTGACAGTTGATCCACAAAGGAGTTAGTTTCAGCCAAATATAAAATCACAATTATAGAAATTTGAGTTTTAAACATTGCCTCATATGTCAATACTTATACTCTTGTTTGCAGTGTAGGATATTTTCTTGAAAAGAAAAAGTATTTTTTAGTTAATTTTTTTTTAAATCCTCACACAGAAACTAAGCAAGAGTGTGAATATTGTTTGGATTCAAACTTCTTGGAGCTCAAGGGATCAGTGGAACCTGATGGACTTCATATGGTGCAAGTGGTATTTTGTTGTTGTCAGAGTGCTTCATAGTAATAATACTTTATTCAATCAAATCACAAAAAATAAATAATTTGAAAGAAAGGGAGACACCAGAGGTTAGCCCTATCGAGGCTATCCTATTTGAAGGGGAACTGAGGTCTAAAATTGAATCATTTTTAGCTCAAATATCAATGTTTGGATGTTTTTTCCAGCCTTTGGGTCCAACTTTACCCAGAAAAAAAAGTTCAATGTTGTATTTTGATCTCATAGTATGGCAGCTTAGAAAAGCGACATCAGCAGTTATTTTAATTCATTATTATGTCACTGGTGGGTAAGAAAGATAATAATCCTGTACTCTTCCTTCAGAACTTCAGTATGGTTATGGAGTGATTGAAGTTGCGTGGCTTGTAATGGGAATCAAATTTGAAAATGAAATATGATATGAGGCCTCCTCAAGTTAGTCCCACACCACTGACATCATATTCAACCACTGCTAATTGTTTTTGAGCCTACAGTCTTACAGCTGCAAGAGCAGGAAAGAGGCAAATTCAAACTGAAGTTTCTCATAAAAAACAAGAAGCAAATGAAATTAACCACCCAAACTTTATCTTACCCCACTAAAACTCACTAGAAATGAATGCAAAAAATACCAATTATAGGCTTCAGTTCCCCTTGACTCTAGATCGAATGGTCTGGGTTCGAGCCCTGGCTAGGGACAATGTGTTGTGTTCTTGGGCAAGACACTTTACTCTCACGGTGCCTCTCTACCCAGGAGTATATATTACATATAGGTGAACATATTCATCAACTTTTTTTGTGCAGCCGTACCTCTGAACTCTTGAGACTCAACTCTTGACCAGCTCATTCACATAGGAGTCAGTTTCACTAACAAAATCTCTTCCTTAGTCTTAATCTGTGATGCAAAGACTTTCTTTCTTTCAATCTTTACACAGGAGCTAAGAAAGTGTGTGAATATCTTTGTATTTAAACTTCTGGAATCTCAGTGGATCATTGGACCCTAATCGACTTCTTGTGGTGCCAGTGGTAAGTATTTGTCAGGTTTCCTATTTACGCAGTAGAACGCATTTTTTTGACGGGCACTATAACGTGATAAAGCCACACGCTTTCCTAGTGTTCTCCCAACGCCCCCAAGTGACTTTGTCACGTTATAGAGCTTGGAAAAATGCGACCTATTGCTTTTATGACATAACTGGTCACGAGCAGGCTGTATAACCCGATAAAGCATTCGTTTCGAAACTGAATTGACCAATCAGACGATGCGTACTATGTTCATTAGGTAATGATTATCATTAAAGCAAACAATATAAACTCATCTTTTTAAGTGTGACATAGCTGGATTAATTACAGGGTGGGACTGGGCAATCGAAGATTACTTTATTATTATTTAGGGGGTAATGTTTAAAGAAGTGGAGTTTTCCTTGTTACGACCTTTCCAGTTTAAATCTATGAAGCAAACCACTTGAGTTGATTGTACTCTGCTCCACTCTACTGCCAAATTGAAGTACAGAGTTAGAATTTTATTCTTGCCTCTCTTTTCGTTTAAATTTATATGCCGATCAATTCGAAGCTTCAACATCCCCATCCCCCCTCCCCCTGGATAACCCACGGGTATATGACTGTTGTCCATGAGTATCAGAACTGGATCGTCTCTTCTTAAGTTTCATCGAAGAAGATCGTCATGTGGTATTTTGAATCGTGTTTCTGCGGCCCACAAAATTGTCTCTAATTTGTACAGAACTACAGTATTTCACCTGAATAGCTTAGACACCAAACGTATTACTGACTCGAAGAGATAAATACAAACCAGTTAGGAAAAACGATAGCAAAGGGTAACACTAAAACAGATTTCCAAAAAATTGTAGGCTAATTTTTCAAGAAACGGTAATCGACTCACGGCGTTTTGTTAAAGATACTGTGGAGTTCTTAGAGGGGATATTGTTATTTTTCCATGATGTTAATAACGCTTGCCATACCAGCAGTACCTAAATATTCCATTACTGACAAATGTCATAATTTTTTGGTGGTTTTGGAAAAAAGATTGATCGGGGTTATGATTTTAATTGAAGATGGCGGCCTTCTGACTCTTCTAAAAGTTTGCTCTTGATGAATAAGCTGCTTTAGGAGAGATCTGACTTTTAATCTTCCTCAATGTGGTTAAGAGACATACGTGATATATAACCGTTTTTAAGATATAGAAAACTTTACTAAAATGGTAGGTAAAAGGAAGCATTTTTGTTTCAATATTGGGCATTTTGCAGTTCACGGTTAATAGATATTTTCTTACAGCTGGTAATCGTGCCACTATTTATGTTGAGTTTTGGCTCACTTTTCGTCTACACTATTATTTCTTGATATCCAGGTAAAATCTAGTACTCAGTCTGAGAGCTGTTCAGGAAGGATGCTAGTGCCGACTTGCAAGTTACTGTGACGTTTTCTTTCAATATCCGAAACAAATTCGGTAAGTTTGTTAATTTAAATTGTGCGACAAGATTTCCGGAAAACATGTAGCTCGCTGAATCCAAATCTTGGGGACCTGAAATACATGTAATCGTGGAACCTGAGCAAAACAAGTACAGATCTGAAAAAAAAAAAAAAAAAAAAAAAAAAAAAAAAAAAAGGAGACAATTCAGGACGCTCAACATCACAATTATCTATACATAAAGATACCGTGGGAGACTACCAAATTTCAATGTACAGAAGATGATAAAATCAGGGAGCTTTTGATTTTCGTGAAAGTCCTAAAATCCCGTTCAGAATTTTCCTTTTTCAGGTACTTTGAAGATTACAAGTTTTTGCAGGAATGTTATGGGAGACGAGTGGTAAGTTTAACTGTAGTTGAACAGAAATTCGGGCAATGATCCCTTAAGGAGAATAATGTTTCGCACTCTTGGACTAAATCATTGTAGTCTTTCTTGTTTTGTAATGAATGTTATCGCTACTGCAAATATGTCATCGTGTATAAAAGAACTGTCGAACAGTTTTAGTCTTAGTGGGTATCTGTTCAGACGCATGCGATTTGTTGTCATATTGTGCAACAACTATACGTTGTGGCTCATAATGCGTTCTTTTTTTATCTCTTCACAGGTTTTATGAAGAATTACTCCATCAAGGAAGAAAAAATTTCTTCCTTGGAAAGAACGATAATCATGGTCAATGTAGACAGTTAAGTAAGTATTTACAAAAGTTGTCTACCTTACGGTAACAACACTTGTTAATACGCATGTGTGTCAAGACAGACATTGATATACGTGATACACATGTGTTTGAAATGATTGTCACTACCACACGGTTAACAACTTTTATAAATACTTAAAAATTGTATTTAGAGGGTGGGTGCGGTGGGCGATGGTGGACGGGTAACAAATTTTAATATTCTACCAGTACAAACTTATTAGTTACCATAACATTAAATCTAACGGATTAAATTGACAACTCCTTCTTTTCTGAACTTCCTGGCTGGAAACTAACATCTATGTTCCTTGGTGCAAAACTATCTTGAAGTTCTCGATACTGAAAGTAAAAGAAAAAGAAAAAGATTTTCAGAAGGTTACTTTTAACATGATCCAACAAACTACATGCAGGAAAAGTAAAACTTAAAGTAAAGGGATTTTGATTCACCGTTTGATAAAATTAGAGCTACTTTTTGTAAACTAGGTGGTCAATCAGAAGGCAATAAATGTTCAGTTCTCCTTGAATTTTGTCTTTTTTCTCTTGTTTTTTTTTTTTGTTTGTTTTTCGTGAAATTCGAATTTACATGTTTTTGTTGAGTTTCGCGCGTGAATTTCTGTCATGGCTCAAAGCAAAGCAAAATTTTCAATAATTATTGACGCATTATATCTACCATTTTAGGCGAAAAAAAGCTCATAGAAAGCTTCCTGCGGAGTTATCTGATACGTATTTATTCAAATCAAATTCCAATTATACATTTACACTACAAGTCTAAAAACGATGAAAAGATAAAAAAACCGTGACGGAAGATTTTCATCCCCAACAAACAATTGGCGGGAAAACTGTGTGCTCACCGTGTCGAGAGAAAATTTTAGAGAATATTTTTTTTAAAATACATTTATCCTTATATGATGTTAGTTGGACAAAACACGGAAGCGAAAAGAGTAGGAAGATAAAATTCCAACAAATTTCATCAAAGCCAAGCAGATTTTTGGATCTTTAACTGAAGTCGTAGTTCGTCTACGATTCAATTCTAGGGCTAGGATCAACCCCTCAATAGCTGGAACGTCCTAGCTTCCTTGTTATGATTAAAGTGTGATCTGACTTAGGGATTAATTCGCTCAAAATTTCTTGAAAGTGAATACGTTGGTTTCTTTTATGACACAACAAATGCATAACTTTCTAACCTGTGATCTTTACACCAACTCTAATAGCTTGAAACTTTCAATCCACTTTGACTTCACCAACAATTCCCTCATGAATGCAGTCTTCAAAGAAAAATAGATCCTGCAGAAAAAAATCAGAACAAAAAAAGATTAACAAATTGGCTAAATCGCTTCGCAGCAATTTTTCAGTACGTCTATGACAGGGAAATAAATTAAAAACAAAGAGGTGGAATTCAAACGAACATAACTGTGTCTTTGCATTATATTTGTTTCCAACTGTGCTTCATGTCGCTACCCTCGACAATTTTCGTACCCCACCCCCCTTGAGAAATCAAATCCTAAGCTAAACTCCAATCTAAAATCTACACAGATCTGCAAAAGCGTTTCTAGATGGCTAATGTTTGGGTTCATTCTCGTCGATTCATCTGTCCGTCGCTCCTAAAACAAAACATTCACATTTTTATCGTCATTTTCTTTCTTTTCCATTCACCATGCTAACCGAACAAGGTTGCAAGGGGGTGGGGGTCCCTGATCCCGTTCCACGCACAAATTTTAGAAAAATTCACGCGCCACGTGTACTTTAAACAGTAATCCACGTGTCACGAATCCAAAAGGGAAGAGTTCAAGTCCCACCAATCGTTGCCTTTCTGTAAAATTCACGAATCACGTAATACTTACGCGTAACGTATAAACCCTTTGCCACCCTCTTTGAACTGACGGGTTGTTCAAATTAAATGTATTTTTAAGGCCCGGTCAAACGCACCCAACATTTCAACGCAACATTTTGCAACAGTGTTGCGCGCAACGCGTTGTACGCGTTTTAAGATGTATCAAGTTTAATAATGGTCAAATTTCTGTTGCAACATTTTGGATGTTGCAAGATGTAGCTTTGAAATGTTGCGTGCACCTGGATGGGCCTTAACAGGCTAATGTAAAAATTTGTCAAGTCAAGAATCAAGAAAAAATTTTGCTACTTACTTTGTATGTAAATTCTCTTGTCTACTCTGCACAATAACATGGTTCATGTTTTCAGTCAATCCGTCAGAGATGATCAAATGATAAGGCAATCACTAAGTTCCAAGCCCAGTGATCTAAGAGTGAAATCATTCAGTTGAAAAGTCAGTTGGTACATGAGACAATTACATGGTCAGTCAGTTTGTAAGTCAATTTGTCTTTCAGCCAGTTGGTCTGTCAGTCTGTTGGTCCATAAAACAGTGAGACAATTAGCCAATCAGTCAACATTTGGCCAGTAAGCAAATCAGTTGGTCACTCAAAAAATTGGTCAGTCTAACCACCATTTAACCACCTTTCCAGTAAGGCAGTCGCTCAGTCAGTTACTCAGTCATCCAGTACACTTAGCCAGTTCAACAGTCAATAGACTGATCATTTAGTCAGCCATCCAGCAGGCCAGTCTGTGTGTCTGTCACTCCCTCAGACAGCTAATCAGTCATCCAGTTGGCTATCACACCGGACAGCCAGTCACTAACTTAGTCACAAAGTAATTCAGTCAGCAGAAAGTATAACAGTCAGTCATCCGGTCAGCTATTCAGCCATCCAATCAGTCAGTGTGTGTCTGTCACTTATTCAGTGAGCAAGTCAACAACTGCTAGTCAGTCCTTTGGTCTCTTAACTGATCTCTTAGTAAGTGACCTATTTAGTTATCCAGTCATCCAAACTGTCCACCAGTCAACCAAATGATCAGTTAGTCCATCAGTCAGTAAGTCAGTTAAGCTGCTAGTCACTTGGTCTGCCTGTCAGTCCACCACTTGGTCACTCACTAGTCAGTCACTCATTCAGCTTTCCATCAATTAGACAAGCCATAACTCAATCAGACAGTTAGTTGGTCAAAAAGGAATTCTGTTTGTTGTAAAGCCAGTCAGTGGTCTGTCAATTAATCTGTCAGTTATTCAGTCAGCCAGTCTAATTGGAAGTCAGTTGATTGGTCAATCAGTCAGTCCAAAGTCAGTCGCTCAATCAGTACATCATTCAGTCAGTCAGCCATTCAGCCACTCAGTGTATCCATCACTCACACAGTGAGTTACTCAATCATTCAGTTGGCTCTTCAGTCAACAAGTCCCTTGATTGGTCATTCATTTTAATAAGTCATCCATTCATTCATTCAGTCATCCAAACAGTATACCAGTTGCTTAACTAACCAGTCAGTCAACCAGCAATTCAGTCAGTCAAGAAGCCAGTCTGTCAATCAGTCAGTCTGTTGGTTAGTCAGTCAGTCAGTCTGTCAGTTAGTTACTCAGTCACAGCGGAATAGTCAGCTGTCTTATATTAGTTAACATTCCACGTAAACAACAGCTTCTTTTATTTTCCTCTTGGAGAGGGTGTCTTCCAATAATTTGGTGTTGAAATATGATATACCTATAACACAAACAAATAAATGGCTGACTGTAAGTCTTGTGACCCAGTAAAGAAGAGGAGCAGAATATAACTACTATCAAACACCTAATTTGCCCATCCATTCCAAGCTTCAATATCCGCTTGGGAAACCCATAGGACCAAGTCTTTGCATCACAGATTAACCACTAAGGAAGAGATTTATTTGGTGACACTGACTCCTTTGCAGGTGATTGGCTCTTAGTCACCCATCTTTGGTGCAAAATCCACTCTGTTGAGCCCATAAAAACAGTTCAGTGGCCAAAACATAGGACACACTCACTGCCTTTCCTTTTTTTTTTGTGTGGGACCAAGTCTTTGCATCACAGATTAAGACTAAGGAAGAGATTTGTTGGGTGAAACTGACTAGTCACCCCATCTCTTATACCAAGTCCACTCTCTGTTCAACATATAAAAGACAGTCTTGTGGCCAAAACATTCAACACACTCACTGCATACCCTATTCCCTTTTTTTGTGGGACCAAGCCTTTGCATCACAGATTAAGACTATGCAAGAGATTTTTTGGGTGAAATTGACTCCTTTGTGGGTCAGCAGTTAGTCACACATCTCTTGTACAAAGTACACTCTCTATTCAGTGTATAAAGACAGTCCATTGACTAAAACAATCAACACACTCCCGCATATCCTTTTCCTTTTTTGTTTTTTGAGGGAACAAGTCTTTGCATTACAGATTTAAGACTAAGAGGTTTATAGGGTGAAATTGAAAGGGGTCAATCATCCAGATGTTGGATCAGTTAAACAGTTGGTCAACTATTCAGTTGGTTCATAAGTCATTCAGTCTTTCAGTAGGTCAGTTATTTTACACTGATCAGCTCTTGGTCACCCATCTTTTGTGTAAAATCACTCAGATCATCAAACACTTTGGCTGTTTTCAAAATGGACTTGACGACTCATTTGTTTATTAACAATTATTTATACCTTAATTTCCTTTTTAATAATTATGTAATCTCTTTTTTTTATTAATTTGTATTTTTTTTTAATCATATAGTAGATATTGTAAAGTGCTATGAAGAAGTAGTCGACTTAGCCCTATATAAATGCTTGTTATCATTATTACCGGTATTATAAAATCCACTCTCTTTTTAGCCGATAAAAACACCTCAGAGCCCAAAACATTCATTACACTCACTGCATTTCCTATTCCTTTTTTGTGAGACCGAGTCTTTGCATCACAGATAAAGCCTTGGAAAGAGATTTTTTGGATGAAACCGACTCCTTTGCAGTTGATCAGCTATTAGTCACCTATCTCTTGTACAAAGTCCACTCTCAGTTCAGTGCATAAAGACAGTCCAGTGACCAAAACATTCAACACACTCAATATAAAAAAAAATTATTTTCTTTTCATTTTTTGGTGGGACCAAGTCTCTGCATAACAGATTAAGACTGAGGAAGAGGTTTATTGGGCGAAATTGAAAGTGATCAATCATCCAGATATCAGATCAGTTAAACAGTTAGTCAACTATTCACTTAGTTATTTCAGTCTTTCAGTAGGTCAGTTATTTACCATAATTTCAGGCCAATTACCCACACGTAATCTGATAATTTATAAGTAAACAACTATTGCAGCAGGTAATAGGGAGGTGTGGGTTATGTGATAAATTCAAATCTACCAATACTGGCTACAACTCCTCAAGAAATTTAGAGGTATTCCCCCTCCATTTTGCAACCCATAGGATTTTGACTGTAGTCCATGTCCAGGGGTGAGAAATTCGAACCGGAAGTGTCAAGTGTTTCCGGCAGAATACATGTGCATGCTTTTTATCTTTTAATATGGATGTGTTCAAGGTAAACAGTTCACTTCTGTGAGTGAATGGCTAAAAAAAAAATAGGTTTAAACTTGAATAGTCAAATCGATTGCTGGTCAATGAGTTAAAATGTCAGTCACTGATCTTGTTGTCTTTTAGGGTTTTTAAGCTTATACTGTCCAATGACTATGTATATGTTGTGGTTCAATTTTATCCTTGGTTTAAATTTTATTTTCCATTGTTTCAACCTTATTATCATACATTACCATAACCAAAGTCAATGGAAATAAAATTGAAACCAGGGATAAAATTGAACCACAACATATACATTCACTACACATTCTGAGGTTGGAAAGCTTAACAATTTGGCTCTAACTTGGTGACAGCTTTGTTTCAACATTTTTTTTTTCAAGATGTGGGTTAGCCACTGATCTGCCAAATTTCCTTTTCACCTATTGTAACTCAGCTGGTGGGAGTAATGTACTGCGGTTAATTTGCTGGAAACGACGGCAATCAGTTAGTTGACCTGTCAGTCACTTGATAAGACAGTCGGTAAATCTGTCAGTCCAACACTTGGCCCATCATTAGTCAGTCAGTCAGTCAGTCAGTCAGTCATATGGTCAGCAACTTAAGAGAAGTCACTCAAAAAAGTTAGTGAATCATTCAGTCCAACAGTCAGTCAAATAGCCAGCCTGTCAGTCCACTAGCTGTGAATTAGGGTTTGTCAGACCATGGCTGAGTCAGGCCATCACTAATTTACTTAGCCAGTCAGCCTTTCTGTCAGTATATCAATCGGCCAATTGATCAGGAAGTCAGTCAGGTACATGAACACTTGTCTGTAGTCAGTCACACCATCACTCAGTGGTAATTGAACTTCCTAGCCATCAGAGACTGGTACCAGGGCCAAAATTTGCAGCAGTTACATGTAATCTTTGTAAGCGGCAACAATTTCAAATTTTAAAAATCTGGTAAATTTCTGTAATAATTGTCTTCATGTCAAGTCTGCAAAAGTTTGTTTACTTTAATTTGTTTCTAATGCATCTTTCTATAAATCCATCTTTAACTGAGGTACTTAAAACAAGTTTTCTGACCTGAATAACAAAACACCACCTTTTGATACACTGCTGAAGTTGTCCATCCACCTTGATGCCTGGCTTTTCCATTGCCTGTATACTGTTCATTCCTCCTGTAAAATGAACAAAGACTTATTTTCATAAATTTCATACCAAGAATCCTCATAGGGAAGTGAAGGGCTTACATGAGTTATTTTTACACAACCGCAAACACTATCCTTAATATTGGCTTAATATTTTATGAATTAACTAAGAATAAACTTGTTATGATGTTATGAGTATGTTTTTATAGGATGATGATGTAATTTTGTAGTTGTAGGTTTATTTTGTAGGATATTTCTTATGTTATTTCTATCATGTAAAGTGCTTTTGGACCATTGGAAATTGGTGCTCTATAAATACTGTAAATTATTATTATTATTATTATTATTAACTAGTAAATTGGGCAATCAGTTTGTCAATCACGCCATCCCTCAATGGTAACTGCTGGTTTTCTCCTTAAAAGTTCAACCTTTAAAATGAAAAAGATCCTCTCAGCCTGAGACCACCACACGGACAAAAATACATAGCATTCTGGCAACATTTCATTCTCATTATAATTCATCCTTCTCCAAAATCTTTCTTGAATCCAGGCTTGTTTGAGTATTGTAATTTTCTGATTCATCTAGAGACAAGTTGGTCCCAAGTCTGCTCTGAAAATTCAATTCTCTAACATGATAAAATTGGTATATTCCATGTGTACAAATGTAATGACATAGAAATTGTTATTTGACATCAGCCTGTGAGCACAACATTTCAATTGTGCAAGTTGACTTCAGCTTTCTTGCTGTAGANATACATGTATGTATGTATGTATGTATGTATGTATGTATGTATGTATGTATGTATGTATGTATGTATGTATGTATGTACATGTAATATTTCAGGGGAATATTGACTTACAGATTTTTCCCATCCATAACAAAAAAAGTGTTGTTTGAAGCAATAATTTATTGCCATAATTCAGATACTGGTATTGATGGAAGGGTTGTGAAAAGCAGTATCCAGCAAAAGTGCAACCAAGGACAAAAATTCAAAACAGACAATGTTTCTTGGAGTAAATTAATTGGGTATCAAATTTGAACACAGAAATAAAAGTTGTGCACAAAACCTTCTTCAAATTGCTTTGGGGATTATTTAATATTCTTATTAGCTGCTATGCAAATTTCACTGTAGAGTTTACTTCAGTTGTCAAAATTTTTTTCAATGTTATGTCAGAGGCCATTATGGGAGATCAATTTCCCACAAAAAGTTTTCTAGGTTGGTACCTTGGGAGTCTTTGGACCAAATTTTGAGGCAATCTATTAAGTTTTGATGCCCTAACAATTTGTTCAAGAACTCTACATGCTTAAAAGCAAAGTAGGTTTTGTTAACTTCCAAAGGTTTACTCTAACATTTCATGCTTTAGGGTGACCAAATGTCAAGTTATGTCAAAACTCTAAAAACCAAAATTACAGACCACCAATGGAGAAACAAAGGAGTCTCAGGGGACACTCAGCAAAGAACTTAGTCCAATTCCCTAGCTAGAAATTTCACTTTCAACTTTTTGTGTGGCTTACACAAGGTGTAAACCACACTATGTCATGATCCAAGATATTTATTCTGGGATCTGTCAGGGTGAAAAGAGCACTTGTCACATGGTTTACTATCATCAAGTATAGGTTCCAGTCTACATTCGGCTCAGTTACGTAAGCTTCAAAACTTTAGAAAGTGGCCATATTGTATTTATGGGTGTAACACATTGTCGAAAATGGTTTTTTATTTAGTCATTCATTTCATCTTTGTTGTTTAGACTGTTTCACACTCTGGTGTCACAGATTTTGACCCCCCCCCCATGGACTTGGACCCCCCAGTCCAAATCTGCTAGCAGATATGGACCCCTCTTTGCAGATTTGGACCCTCCTACCAAATTTTCCTGTTAAGCATCGTTTGTATCATATAAGGTAACTAAATCTAGGCTGACTGTTTCTCTGGCCAATGAAAAAGAGTGCACCATCTTTATAAGAGAATTTTTGGGCTTTCTTACATAAGTTTCTTTTCTGATCTTTTGAAAACTCAATCGGATACTCGGTATCACGGAGATAGTGAAAAACTTAATTGGTATGATAGTGAAAAACTTAATTGTACGCTACCAATATCGCATTAGTACCAGTAATTCTTCTTCCTGTCTGCAATACAATTCTTATGATGTTAGTGTGGAGAATTCGATATTGGATTAGCTGATGATCCCCTAATTCAAATCTTTCTTTATTCTCATCACTTGTCTGCTTCATATTGTATTGAAGTTGTAAGGAGAAATTCTGTCTTGATCACTCATGGAAGTGAAAGGGTTAAGCCACAAGCCTATAACCATTTCAGTGTGATTTTTTTTTGCCATTCTTTGTCAAAATTCTTTCATTTCTTGTACTTTTTTTACTTTCACCACAGAACTCTTCTCCTTTTTATCTTTCTCCATTCAGTACAGTTTTGTACACACACAAATGGGAAAGATTACCATACACAACTGAAATCAGGAGATGTTTGCATAATTGAAATTCAAGAACAGGAATGTTTTACTATATAAAATACTTTGCAAGTCATTTATACAGACATGATTTAATGGCTACTCACTTTGGTGAGCTAAAGCATTCAGCTTGAAAATCCATTTTTTGCAAATAATTTATTTAAATATTTTAGGAAATTTTTCTTGGAAACTGTAGCTAAAATAGTAATGTTTAGTTTGACATTTAAAAAAAAATTAAAAAATTTGCTCTTGAAGGTCTACTGTGTTCTTCATTCAAATTGACAAAGAAACAGATTTCATACCAGGGATATTCTGGCTTTTATCACTTCAGGAAAAACACATATTCAGCATAATTTTTGTGCAGCTTACACAAAGTGTGTAGCCACATTATGGCACGATTGGATTTATTTATTTATTTGTCCACAAGAGTCAAATGCATGTCACATGGTCTAGTGTCGTAAGGTATACTGAGTCAGCCATCTTGTTGTCAGCCATCTTGTTGTAAGCGTGGTCTTGAGTAATTTTTTCAGGTGATCGTATCACGATTTAGTTCTCCTCACACAAGCCAATGCACCCAGATCCAGCTTGTGTTATAACTGCAGCTTGAGCAAGAGCTTTTATGCTCCTAAAAGGCAACATTTAACAGCTTGAATCTTTGGTACAAGTTGAACTACACTGAAAGGAGTCATTGCACTATTGCAAGCCAACAACTATGGGTTTGATCTATCGGTGCAGGTTGCACCACTGAGTCTCTGAAAGAGTTTGAAAGAGTTTGAAAGTGTTTGAAACTGTCTGAAGCCTCCTGAAAGTGCCATAAAGTGAAATAAGTTGTATTGTAGTTGCATTCTCCTTGCACTGTTGAGAATTCACAGAGGCATATTTCAAAATAATAAAAGTAAGTATAGGAATCTCGATTGTACAATACTGGTCAAGGACTGGCTTTTATGACAATTTCGTAAAATCAAAGGATATCTTATTGCGTTTTAAGGATCATTTTTGGAGTTTAATGATTATGATGTTCTATTTAAAAATATTTGGAAAGATTTCCATATAACCCCATACATTAATTAAGCATTCCATTTCATAAAAACTAAATATAAAGGTTTCTTTGCAACCCTCTATGCATAATTAATGTAGGGGGTAAAATGGAAATCCTGCCAAATATTTTACTAGGCAGTATTAAAAAAAGTTTTTGGATAACACAAAATGTGGAATGATGTGATGTTTTGGTTTTCACAAATAATTTCCTACAATATTACGACTGAAATGTGATTATTAATATTATGTTTTCCAAGTAATGCCCAGAATTTAATTCAGACCTTAACATTATTTTCTTGACTTCCTGTAAGCTTGGCAGTCTTCTAAATTCTCTTCACAATGGTTCAGATGAGCATTGATATTTTACCTTGGTAACAATACATTTGTATCAGGCCTTTATTTGGCAGACTACAACTCCTTTTCAGTTACCTGTTTGGTTTTGGTTAATTCATCACAATACTGATATACATGAAAAATTACACTCTTGATTGGCTGAAAACAACCAGCTGTCTTTTTCATGTATCACCAGTGCAAAAGTGATTACTCAAGTACAAATGTAAACCACTGGTAGGCTCAGCAACAAGCAACAATAGATCACACTAGAAACCAATCAGATTTACACGAAGTAGGTTGTGCTGACCAAAATAAACAAAAGCTTGAATTTTTTAGGTATATTGACAGACATTGACAAAATCTCATTCCTGAGTAAGATTTCAGCTGAAGGACAAATTTTGATAGGATGTCAAGTTGAACATTTACATGATGACGTCAAGTTCACCTTTTCATTTCCTGTCTCCACATAGCTTGAATTTGGGAAACACACTGGCATGAAATAACAATATCAATAATAAGAAAACTTGAAAGATTCTTGTACTTTAAATCATAAGACACCATCATGTGCTTGCCTGTACATTGAACTCTGTCATGTTTAAGTAATGTCTCTGATTACTGCTCCTGAATTCTATTATGGTGATACTTATCTCCATTGAACTTTCTGTTAAATGAAACCTCCAGGTGAATCTTATTGGGTTAAAAGTTATTAGCAGCTTTAATGTAATGTTACTTCAGAGTACTACCTAACATATGACTCATTAAAATAATGTTTGTGTTCTGATCTTGTTATGCACCTATCTTTTTTCCCTAGACTCTTCCATTTGTAATCCCATATCCACATACCTCAACTAAATTTTTCTGTGTTATTTATTGAAAATACAGTCCCACAAAACCCAAATACAATAATTAGAATAAAAATTTTTCTTTCAACCAACTGAAAATAGAACTTGTGTCCTAATGGATAATAGTAACCCACACTCAGCACTGCATTACTTTACATGTGTGTATTGTCCAAAATTAGTAGTCATACATTCAAACCAAATCAAGCTCCTAATGGCTTCTAGTGTAGATTTCATCACTCCCCAAATGTTTCAGCCCTTCTGGAAAGTTATGTTCTCGTGTACTGGTACACAAAATGCTAAAAATATTTAGATGAAATGCTTCCCTAAAGTTAGTCTAATGCTCGAAACGTCAGCTTTTGTAATCGTTATGGTGGCCAATTTACCACTTCAACTTTGTTGATATATCCAAATTATTTAGTCTCACATCACTTGCCTAGGAAAAGACAATACACCTACAAACTTTGGAACTCAATTCCACTTTGTTACGTTAACAAAATCATGACTGAATCTACTAGGCTACTATGGGAGATGTTGCTGATGCATTTTTTAGTTCCTAAAATCCTCAGGTTACAAGTGCAAGTCAAAATGAGGCCTCCATAACAAAGTTTGGCCATGAACCATCATCTTGAAAATGAACATTTCAGGACTATTATATGCCAGTTATCTTATTTTATCGATGCACAGGAACAATATTGAAAACTATCTAACCATAATCAGATATTAGCTCCTTTAATAGAAACTCAAAAAGACACCAGACACTAAAGAGCAGCTCAATTTCGAAGGCTACACATGTACGCATTGCGGACCTATTTTTTTTATCAGACACTGTATTGCCACATATAAGCACCCAGGTTCTTCTACGAGAAGGGGCACTTACTTCAGGGATGCTTAATTGAGGGTGGCATTTATAAAACTATTAACCTGAGCTGATTCCGCTTTAATTGAAGAGTGAACAAAAAAGCAATAGAAACAGGTTTCCTGTGTATCCACGCTATTTAAGGAAGTGAGGGAGGACATGAGGGGGTGGTCGCTTTTACAGGGGAAGGCAATTATATGAGCGTGGGTGCTTAATCAAGGAAATACGGTATTCCTATTTTATGACGTTTAACCTCTGAGATTACGTATGGAACGCTTGTGGCATCAACAGAGCTTCCCAGGATTTCGAACTTCCCAGCGGATTTGACGAAAACAGACAGTGAAGCAAAACATCCTAGTTTCAGAACTTATGCGCATTTGATCATATGTAAATGAAATTTGCGCACTACAGATATTAAACTATTATTACTATTATTAACACTAGTTTATACTTTTGGGGCAACAATTCGTAAAAGATACGCTTATTCCCGTTTAACTATTTATTTCATCAATATGTTCACTTACCAGACACAAAGGCAAAGAATTCCACGAACGTGACTTCGATCCAACATCAAAACAGCTTTGGTTTGTCTCCATGTTGAGGTTCACTGTTCCAGCTGTTATGAAAACGTTAAGAAACAACCAAATTTCTAATTTCCGAGCAAAGACAAAGGAAAGACTGACCAGGGTCTTACAGAAGAAGGAAAACAATCCCGCTTACCTAAATACAGTAAAACGCACGGCCATTTTTTGTGATAGTCTTGCAAGGTATGCTGGGAGGCAGATCGTCATCTACCCGAGGAGGGGCAAATCAAAGAAGGGGAATTTAGAATTTAGACGGAGCTCAGTTAAATGGCTATGGGACCGTCCGAAATCTCTCAGAATCATCGAAAATGGACAGAACCATTCGTCATCGGACGCAGCCTTAAAAGACCGGAGGAAAGCGTTGAGTAGAAATGGTGACGAAAACTTAAACTCAACTTGTGTTTAACTAAATTACTCGGGAGTCAGGAGCCCATCACGTGATGGGCTCCTGTCGGGAGTACAATTCCGAACAAGTCGAAAATCAGACGAAACCAAGCGAAGTCAAACGAGATGGTAACGTACAAGCTGACGAAAAAATGAGTTTAGAAATGGAATTTGAAAGGAACCAAATTCGAATTTCCTTAATCGACATAGCTGAAACACAAATAAAGTTTGCCATCTGAAATCCTTCTTAATCTTATCCATCCGTAACTATCCTTATTCGTTTTGGCCTACTTTCCCCATTTTTTTTTTGTTTATTTACTTTACCTCACCTGTGAACTAATATTATGTGGTTTCCCTTACGTTTATGGCAATTTTGGTCCTCGCAGGAAAACCACTGAAAATATCGTTACGTGCATGCATAACTCCTTTAGAACTGAATTTTTGCCAAGTTTGTAAACTGACATCCTGTAATCACTTGGTGATTATCTTTTTTCTTTAAGCTTCCTATAAACACTAAATCCCCCACGTTGATTGAGCATACCCCTTATAAAGGTATATCAAGTCTATCAAGTTCTGTTTGCGTGCGCGTACTCATTCCACGAAAGACCGACCCACGATTAGTTTCGCCGGGAGGTCTGTAGTTATTTGGTCTGCTTTGAGACGATATCACTGACGCGTGCGGAGTAAAGTCACCATCCACTGAGGTAAATATTCCGGCATATTACCACATGATCATGCACTGCTAAAAATGTTCTGGTAGCAAGTCAATGCGTAAACCTGGAAAACACCAATCTGTGGTTCACTCTAAATTCAGGAATGCAACGGCAAATTCCGGCTGCTTATTCATAAACGAGCACTCAGTAATTCTTGGTTACACGCATCACCATCAAGCCTTAGCTGGTTCACCCTTTTATATTCTTTGAAGATAACAGAGGTAATTCTTCATGTGAACAATTTATTCTGGTTGATATCAGGATTACCAAATGTACGTGATGCGTGACACTGACTTGAAACGATTCTTTCAAAAATTGCCACAGCATCTCTTTCTGTTGACATTTGTGTCATTTCTCGATTCCTTTTTCTAATAAAGAGCGTTCATATTGAGAAAGTAATGTACGGTACATTAAACTGAAAAAAGGAAAAAAAAATCAGGTAACTTTTGGCTGGAAAAAAGGTATCAGCTTTATGCGTTAATACATCGCCGAATAGAAAAGAATATTGTTGTCTCTTATAAAGAAAAAGGATACAAGAAGACGAAGACATAATGCCAACTTGACCCCGGCGCAAGGTCACGAACAGGCAATAAACTGACCGCGACTTTACAGTCTTACGATGCAGATTTTACTCGCGGAAAACGTTACTCGAGACGCAATGACTTCGCGACGTAACGAAATTCTCATGTGTATTAAAAGGGAACAAAAAACACTTATCGTAAGAAACGCGACCTAACAAAGAAAAGCAAGTTGTCTGTCAAAGAGGTTCGTTTTCAAAATATAAAAGCATAACGCCGGAATGGTGCCAATGACCTTTAAGTACATGTTGTTTCAGCTGTGTTACGTTGTTACCACCTTCATTATTAAGGTTCTCGCCCAGGCCTATGCCGTCAAAGAAATTCCAGCTTACATCTGCCGTTCTGTGGTAGATTTTGATATGTCTGTGTTTGAGAAGAGATAAAAGGCGCAATGCGGTGAGAAAAATAACACAAGGAAACGCAGCTCGTGCAAGTATAATTTCAGAAATGCAACATCTCGTATGCTTGAACATATATTTCAGAAGTTACCGTTGAAAACTGATAACAAGTAAATGTTAGGGAGTAAAGGTATTGCATTCGAAACGTAGCGTTAATGTAATCAAATTTCTGTGAAATTTCAGTGTGATCTTTTAGTCTTTTTCAGTTTGTCATTGCAGGGTGCCTTTAATTTCTTACAGAATTGAAATGATCACAAAAACAAAAACATCCAGGCTGTGTTTTGTAATCACGTTAAAAACAGTAAAAAGTAACGGTTTGCGAATTGATCGACTTGTGTTATATTGAGCCTCGAGATATCAAAGAACGCTTGATGCAAAGAGAAAAGAATTAGACGTAAAATACTCACAGATTTTACTCGATTACTTTTGATTCCTGCGCAAGCAAATAATGAGTCACGTGTCGACGGGCAATCAGATGAAGGGTTTCCATTATCAATAGCCGAAGGGATCTCAAAGTGTAAACAAGTAAACCACTCGGAAGCGCGGGAAAACGCGCGCGACTAAGTCTCATTGTTTCCAGTTTTACACTGATCTGATTGGTCGAGAGTATGGTGCACATTTTCTGGACCAATCACAGAGCAAGGTAAGTAAAACCAATGCGATCCCGGATCACTTTTGTCACTCAATTGAAAATTTCACTAATAGAGATTACCCAGATTGAGTTGCGGCAGTAGACGTTGATAACTTATCCTTGTCAAATTGTAACTTTTGCTAATTTCTCATATTTAGTTTTTGGTTATCTTTTAGGACATGGCTACGATTGCGAGGCAAGATCTGAAATACGGCTGGTTTTCATTTAAGCCAGGATGGCTCCAGATTGCTAATAACTCTAAATGTTTCCTCTTCGTGGTCACCGTACTTACAACTGTGCAAAGTTAGTGAACAGTAAACCCATTTTTTTTAGTTTTTTTCCAATTTTTTCCAATAACGATTCAAAGCTTACGGACCGACTCCAAACAACAGACTTGAACTTGTATCATCACTTAATTTGAAGAATTCGTTATTTTATTATCTACAGGCATGACGGTGAATGGAATAACAGGTATAAATCTACCTGCGTTAGAGAAGCGGTTTCAGCTCAGTAGCCAAGATCTTGGAATCATTGCTGCTTCCAACGACATATCTGCCATTGTACTTGTCTGCTTTGTCAGTTTTTACGGTGAATTTGGAAACAAGATCAGATGGCTGGGTTATGGAACACTTGTTACAGGTTTGATTGTACATGAGAATTTCATTTGATATTATCATTAACAATCTGTGGTGTTTGTAAGGTTATGCATACTGATGAAGATGAATTCTTAACCTAGTTAGACTAATCTAAATAAGCCTTGCAGATATTGTTGACAATTCCGTGTTACCGCTCTGACAAAAGTCAGAAATAAATATGGCATAACTGGCTAGTGGATAGCTGGATACCAAACCACGATCTGACCTGCACAAGTAATTGAAATTAAAGTCACTGCATCGGACTTTAGATAAAGAAGGCTGGGTAAAGTTCTGGCTTCGACTAGGAGTAAATTCGTGCCACCTGCATACGGACGTTATGTATAACTGAGCTACGAAGCGTCGAAGCCACATGCTTGGGCGCGTAGTTAACTTTACGTAGTTCTTTGTTCCTAGGTAACAAGGGAAATCTGAGTTTCAAAAAAAATTTAACTTTTGTTTGTCTTGATGCTTGAGCATAAGCTACTTCTTGTGCCAATGTGTATTTGTGCGCTTTACACGGAAGTGCGAACCAATATTACTTTGTGCAGTAAATGGTTTGAACCCGGGGGTAACATGTGAAGGTGTAGTCTGATCGTCCGGGTGAGTGTAGTCCTGAGAAGGACTGTTGTCGGTGGCAGTGACTGACGTTTCGACAACCTGTGCGGAACTCATCATCAGAGTCAAGTGAATGATTGTTGTCAGTAGAATGTTCTTATTCCAGTTCGTGTGAAATGATCGGTTGGTTTTGCCGTGATTGGTCGCAACTTGACCGGTTGGTTTGTTCCGGCCGGGCTCAAACTTAAGCCCCCGTTGAACACACAGGAGGCGATCCAGATCGTCAAAGCCACCTGCAGACGACTGGTCAAAGCGTGGATAAATGATTGCCACAGAAGACTCAAACGCCACAGAAACAAACTACGACAACTACACGACCAACTGAAACAACTGATACCAACTGACCTACTTGACACCGTTACGACAATTGCCGACAAACGAGCCAACAAGACGACTGAACGCGCCCGCACTGGACATCAACAAAAATTGACACGACTGCTACGAGACAAAGAAGAGAGACGAAGCAAACCGGACGACAACTGGGTAAGTAACATTTCTTCTCGTTCCTTAGACAAGACTGAAACTCGGGTACTATCATACGGACTAAAACACTCAGTAACACCTAAACGCATACCGACTGAGGCTATTGTATCTAGTGTTGAGGCGGCCCTGTCTCGGCAACGAGAACTATCTGAGCCGACCAAGGATAACATCAGAAGCAGAATTGCCTCCACTATACAATCAACGTCACTACATGACAGCAACTTGACTAAAGACGAACAACGCGCACTGAAACGACTGAGAAACGACGAGAACATAGT